TCCTCTTGCCTCTCACAGCCACCCTCTGTGATCTCTCACCGCTGTGTACAATCACATTTTGCAATGTTTGTGCAGATAATAGATATCCATGGAATCTATGGAGCCCAAACCTTCTTTCTGTTCTGAAAACATGGCCTTTCTAGCATTATGTGCCCAACAGTCTGCAAAACACCAGACTCCCTCAGCAGAGTACAGGAAGCCCAGCTAACACACTGATTTTAGTGGATTGGATCTGTTTTAGTGCACTGATTCTACTGTTCTGTTGTTTTTCAGACAATGACATAAAAATATTCCTAGACATCTTGTGAGCACCAAGAAAACAGGTGTTTTGTCATGAACCACATAAGAGCTTGTTGTTTCCTCTCACTTTTAATCTCACCACCCATGAATTCTGTTTATAAAGTTTTTGGATAGACCACTGTGTTTCCCTTGCTCCATGCTGTCCTCAAGCTCTTCAGGCAGACAGCAGGTCTGACACAATTGGATGTGATGCTAGCACTTGCCTTGCATCAAGGAAGATGATTTTCCATAGCGTAATTCCAGATAGATTTATTGAATCAAGTCTTAAACCTCAAGAGGTAAAGTGGGCTGTATTTTATACAGAAAATGGTTTTCCCTGCCAGATGAAATCTTAGGGCAGAGTGTCTCATTTTATATAGCTGCTTGGACATTTCTCTATCTTGGGATTAATGGTGATGGGGTAATTTAGATTCTGTAGCAACCAGAGATAGCTGGATTTACAGGGTTATCAGTCCAGCCACTTACAGGCATCTTTGCTTTAATTGAGTTTAGTGCTGTGAAAAAGATGAACTTGATGAAAGGAAGCCTTTTCTACCTGACTTGAGAATAAAGGCTCAGCTGAGGCAGGACCAGCACCGTGCCTTTCTTGCCAGTGCCATGCCCACAGGTGGGATGGCAGAACGATGCTGTCTGGGGGTGCTGCCACAGCCTGTGCAGAGCAGGACAGAGGTTTGCTGCCTTGTGGTGCCTGTTCTAGAGTTTGAAACACAGCAAGGGGTGCTTCTAGACCTGTCAGCTCTGTGTTTGAAGTGCACTTGTTTGCATCACTTAATCTCCTAGAGGAGTAGGGTGTTTTGGACATACCACTGATGAAATGATGCCAATCTCTCTGATTCCTCTGGCTCCATAAACTGTCAGCCATTTTAGCTGGCTTGAATCATCTCAAACCAAATCAAACTTAGTCATGACTTCCTACAAGTTAAAAAAGAAAATAGTTGACAGATAGAAAAGATAGAAAAGAGAGAACTGTTAATCCTCCCCTGAGGAGGAGGAGGAGGACGCATCAAATGCAACAACGTTGGGACAATATGAATCTGGAACTGTCAGACTGAAACCTCAAGTGGGAAAGGACCATCTCCCTAACCAGGACCAGCTTCTCAGCTTTACCCAGTGCATCAGAAATGCCAATCTCCTGCTGTCTCACTCAAAGCCTGGCCACCCTCTCGTTTTTCTCACTGTGTTGGCAGGAGATTTGTGAGTACATCACCATGTGCCATTTCAAGCTTCATTTGAATAAGCGTCCCATATAATAGACTTTTATAGCTCTCTTCTGTGAATTCTAAATTAACACAACTAATTAAAATGTTCCAAAGTTTTATGTAAATAACTAATTAGCATTTGAGAAGGAATAGTAAATTCACAGATGGTCATGCTCCACTCAGGGCCCACTGTGCACCAGTGTCAGGCCCTTGGTGCAACATTCTGCCTGGCAGGACCAGACTGCCCAGGTATCACCCCAAGGATGACCCAGCACCTGCCACCTTGCCTCCAGGCTCTGGGAACTCTGCATCTCATGGGGTTAGGCTCATTCTCTCTGTCCCTGGCATCAGGACTTGCAAGAGTAAGGAGAACATGGGAACATTAAGGAAGAGGTCTGTGCACAGGAGATGAGGTGAGTGTCTGAGCTGTGATTTTCAGTGTTTTTACCGGCGTTGCTGTAAGGAAGTTCCTCTAGAAAACCTTTCTCAGGGATACTTTTTACAAGTAGAAGCTCCACACAACACAGTTGAACCTCAGCACTGCTGGGTTCCAGCCCCAGCAATTCCACTGAGACCCTGGAAGACTGTTCTGTCACTCAAACCATGTGTCCATGGACCACAGCTGGGAATGAAGATATTTTCTTCCTTTCTCATAGGATTAAAGCTCATTGATATCTGTAGCACAGTAGAGAGGTGATGCAGGAGTAACACCTTGTAGGAATGGGGAGATTTAAAAAATAGGTCTGCATCTAATTCTGATTGACATCCAGGTGGACATTGGAAAGTGTCCCTTCTCTGACATCTGGATTCTCATATAAACCAGGAGCCCTTCATTTATACAGCCCATGGCACCTGCACATCTTAGTGCTGTTGCAGCACAAACAGGACTCCCACAAATACAAGGAAGGAGTTTTGGCCAGTTGGAGTTTGTTTGCTCTAGAAGATGGAGATTATCATTACAGCAAGTGAGGAGGGAGAATTCATTTTCCAATCCCATTGAACAGGTCCTACAGGAGTAACCTCACCTGTTCCAGGGCAGCTCTGACTATTTGCACCTTCTGCTTTCAGAGCTGCAAAGACCTGTGGGAGATGGAGAGGTTATCAAAAACTGCTTTAGAGTAAGATAAGGGGTTTTGATGTATTTGAGCAGGTCTCTAAGAAGGGGAAATGAGTTTGGGAAAATTCGTGTTGCTAGGACAGTTTTGCTCAGCCAGAGGGAAATCAAGACAGCAGAAGCAGGAGTCGGTGGGGAAATCAAAGGGTGAGTTAAAATAAAGGAGTGTGAAGAGCCTGGTTGTTTGTGTTGAAATTATAAACAGGAGTGTGTTTTTCAGATATATTCTTGGGAAAGATGTAAAAGTGGGAGATGAAGTAAAACAGTAAAGCTGTTGAGGGGGAGAAAGGGCTAAGCTAAGCCTTCCTATTGCGTGGTCTTATTTGCAATCCCTGTCTGCCCTGGAAGCATCCCCCATATCTCTCTCTGTTTATACATGCAGAAAACTCCTGCAGAGTGGGGAGGAAGATTCAAGCTCTCCATCTGGTCTTCCAGACGTTGTTTCTCATCCTGGCACCAGCCTGAGAGGAGGTGAGCTCTGAATTGGGTGGCCAGAGGGTAGCCTGGCCATGGTACAGGGCTTTGGAGGCTCATGGGGAGGGGAAGCAAACCCAGAGGAACCTCATTGTTTCATCCCTGATCTCAGACATGTGGCTGCAACAGCCTTGGGGAGCACAAGGTGGGTATGTACACAGTGTCTCACCCCAAGTACCAGCTCACCGTGCTCCCAGGCAGAGCATTTGGCATTTTATCCATCACAAGAGGAAGGCTGGAGAGCAGCCTGCTGATCCCACGTTTCTTGAATCCATAAGTGCTGGTATCAGCCCTCACTAACTCTGGGCACACAGGAGCGTGGCTACAGCCTGTTCTGAACTGAGGAATGAGGGTCTGAAATCACTGTCCTTCCCTGCATGCAGCCCAGGTGGGCTGGGAGTGCTTGGCAGGGGACAGGCTGCACCTGAGGCCCCCAACAATTCAAAATAAACCCAGAAAGGGCGCCTGGAAGGAATTCAAGATGCATGGGAGGCTGGTAGGCAATCAAGTGTGGCAAAAGTAGGTACTTGGATCATCTGAGGAAGTCTTAGGCTGAAATGTTGCCTACACTCAGGGACACAGCACAGGGTGCTCCTGTGGTGCCTGGAGCCTGGGTGCTGCAGGGGGCACAGGAGAGATGTTCCTGTCCCTGTGTGACCCCTCTTGCAGAGAGAACCCCTGGGCCGTGGGGTTTCCTGCTGAAGGAGCACACGTGCCAGCTGATAATGACCAGCATCACGATGCATTTCAGCATTCACTGCTAAACGGTTCTGCCTGGAAAATTGCCTCGAAAATGTGTTTCAGGATGTGCCAGATAGTCTCATGCTAATTTCTCAGCCAAAACCTCCCATGTGGTGTCCAATGTGATATCAGTAACTCAAAGGCAGGGGAAAATGAAGCCTCTATTTGCTTTCAAGCAATTTATTCTCCTTTTGTCTTTTTACATCCAGCAGCAAAGTAAATTACAGGGATGGAAATACTGAAAGCTTTTAATTTTTTCACTGTAATTTCTTAGCCCCCGGGAACCGAGTAACAACAACAAAAAAAGAGATATTATGAAAAAGTACTAATGCCTAACTATAATTTTTAATTATTAAATCCACATACAGATTTTACTGATTAAAAGTAAGAGGACCTGTTGGAGTACAAAGAAAGGCTTCAGAGTTCAAGTAGCTGTAATCAGCTTCAATTTCACATTAGAAAATGAAAAGAGAAAAATTTCTGCTGGCAATAACTTTGTATTTCTGGTATATTTCATCTTTCTCTTTTTTCAAGCTGCTTTTAATTTTATCAGCTTTAACCTTAATTCTGCTTTTCTGGTTCTTAACTCTTGAGGGTTATCCAGCCCTTTAAACTGATTTCTGACATGTTCTGTGTGAGGTACAGTGGTATCTGGAGAGACTGAAAGATCTCTTAAACTCTTTTTCCAGGGGGGCTGTAACAGAAGTTCATGGGTATTTGGGAAATCAGTGATAAAGCTCGGAATTATCTCATATTCTAATGTCCAATCCAGAAATCAGAGAAGCCCAGCTCAGGTGCAGTAGATCTTAAAATGTAATTCTGAGTTCTGAATTCTCATACAACAAAAAGACTTCTAGGCTTACCCAAATCCTGTTACTTTTCCACCTTTTTTTTTTTCCTTAGGATCCAAGTTAAGTTTTAAAGACAAAACTCAACTTGGAAGAGGAAAGGAAATAGCAACTCCTCTAAACTCTTTCAGCTTCACCTTGCCCCACCACAAAACAGGTCTCAGTAAATCACTGCACATGGATTTCTGTATTTAATGGTGAGAGCAGTGTCAGCACCAAAGTCAGCAGCGCACACAAAATGTTTGCTGGAAATATACATTCTCAAAGTGCAAGAATTCCAGAGCGAGAAAGCTCCTGCCTCAGTCCTTTCAGATAAGCTTAATATTTCAGTTGTTACAGTATTTATTTCAGGTGTTCATTATAAGGCTGGAACAGCAATGTTTGAACAAATCACAGCAATTTCTCACATAACTTCAATGTTGGGACTTTGGGTAGTTTTAAAGTTTTGACTTCCATGAATATATGAACACCTGTGTATTGAATTCAGTTTTCTGTAGTTCTCAGCATGGGATATGCAGGCACATACAGGAGAAATCTCTTGTGCATAACCTAGAGGAGATTCCTTTATCTTCCTTCAGGGCAGAAGCCTTCACTGACCCCCTGCTGAATTTTCCCTGCTGGATTTTCCCTGCTGATACACCAAGGCAAGCCAAAAGTCTGGCTGGGCCATCCAACACGACGAGGTAGCTGCAGTTGCCTCAGATCTGAGGGGTGACCTCCGAAGCCTCGTTCCTGGGGAGGATGCAGCAGAACAATGTCATCCTTGTTGCATTCATTTAAAGTCTCTCCTTCCCCCTGAGCAGCACATCCCCCGCACAGGCTCACAAAGGGCTGCATTCATCAGAGACCAGCAACTGGTTATAATCCCTTTGAAAGACAACAGGCCGTGCCAGCACTACCAGGGCTTGGTTTAAAATGTTCATCCTTCCTTGCTTCCTCAAGCCCAAGGCCACCTCGGCTGACTCCTGTGCACGTGGAGGTGTTTGAGGGTCTAGGGACCCACTGGGGTGGTTCCATGGGGTGGGGAAAGGACTCCCAGGGTCAGTAAGTCCTGTTGAAGTTCTTACATGTCGTGTGGGAGCTCGCTGACTTGTGTCCCAGGAGCTGTTTGGTTTCATGCCCACACTCCTCCCACGGACAAGCTGCTGCTCAGCCTTGGTGCTCTGGATGGGGTGAACCTTCTTTGCATTTCCAGCCTCAATTTATTCATGGTTGGTTTGCTCTCATTTGTTCCTGTGCCAGCACTGGCCATTAGCTTAAAAAGCTCTCCCCAGTGCTGGATTTAGTCATTTCAGTGTGTGTATAAGGAACAAGCAGCTCCTTTTGGCTTTCATTTGCAGAGGATGAGACCAAAGCTGCTTTAGTTCTCCCACTGCAAAGAGGAAATGCTCAGTCCTCCCCAGTGCTCTGCTCATCTCTTGGGCTAAACTGAATTCTCCTGCTGATTCATCCCAGGCCAGGCCAAGAGGGGTGGTGGCACCCTGACTGAGCCTTGATGCCAAGGGTGTAGCTGCAAGAGATGTCGTGGTGTGTGGTCAAGTAGGGTGAGGAGAGACCCCAGAGGCCTTGAACTGGAGCAAGAAATGATTGTGGTGGTGACGTGAAAACAATGCAGCAGAAAAACTGAGCACATGCTTAACCCTTGTCAGCTGACCTTAATGCAGAGAGTGGGACTGCCCTGATGTTCCTTGTCTCCCTTCCATCTCTCAGTGTGTTCTCCATTCTGTTCCATGTCCCACCTCTTGCGCTGCCACTCTCCTTCTGCTCTTTCTGAGTCTTTGACAGTCTTATTCTGGACTGTTCTGGGAGGCTGGTCAGAACCTAGCAAGGTGATTGCTTTCACAAAAGTCATCCCCAGCAACCACTAAATGCTCTGAAGGCAGCCCAGGAAGAGCCTGAAATAAGTTTAAGCTGCTAGCTGTGCTTACAGGTGTTTTATGTGAGCATCTGTTTGCCAGTGAATTGCCTCCCATTCTTACCAAAACCCAGAAGTCCAAGGATGTTCTGTGAAATCTTGGCCCAATCTAAAAGTATGTCTGAAATTAATGGTATGACACCCAATGAAGCATAGTTCATCACTTCTAGTGCACACAAATACAATTTAGAGCCCATTTCCTGAAATTTAGACCCCTGATGCCCCTGGTCCTCTCAGACTTGAGATCAAATCAGCTCCTCTCAAATTCCTCCTGTCTCCCCATCTTGCGTTCCCTTTCATACCTTTCATGAAACCCAGCAAGAGCCAGCCCCAGTGGAAGTGGTTTCTGTGGCAACTTTAAAAGTCACCCTTTGGGTGATCCTAGAACTGCACCTCTTCCCACTGAAAGGACCAGGCACTTCAAGGAAAGCGATAATGGGCAGTCATAAATCGCTGTATGTTTTGGTAGTTGCCGTTGCTGCCAGGGAGATGCATTTGTCACCTAGCAACGACATAAGGTGATGAGGAAATAACAGCATGTTAATCTAATGGCCATGAGTTAACATCTATCAGGGAGCAGCCTCCCAAGCCCACCAATGAGGTGAATATAATTGAGGATGAAAGAGATACCAAACTTTTCATCCAGTAAGTATGGGAGGAGTGAGCAGAGGTTATCTTCATGTGTGTGTGCAAGTCTGTGTGCATATGCCTCCTCGTGGAGGGGATGACAAAAAGTCTGGAGGAATCCCTCAGACTGGAGCTCGGACACAGAGCTGTCCAGAAGATGGGTCTCATTTTATCAAAACCTGAAGGCAGCAGTACCACAGCAGGCAGGGGGCAGCAGGAGGGTCCCAGCCCACCGTGAATTTCAGTGCAAAACTCCTCTGGGTTTTTGGTGTCCAGTCCTGACTGTCTTAGAAGAAGTGCTGAGGCTCTTTATGACATTCATGTATTCAAGCTGCTCAGCTGATCATGGACAGGGAGAGTTTTCCTGCTGAAGCAGTAGTTCTTTTCAGTATTGGAATCACTCCTGAAGCAAAAGACAGGGCTATTCATGGATCCCCTTTAAGCCAACTCTCTCTCCTCTTGACATCATTACAGGGAGTGCAGGACAGGCTTCACAAATTGCCATCATCCCTTGCAAACCCTGTACGGGTCCAACCTGCAGAAAACATCAAAGTTTGCCTCAAGGCCGGGAGCTGAGCAGTGATAGAATTCAATCCTTTCTTCTGGAAATAGATCCAGAACACATGCCACATGTTATTTTTCAGTACCAGGAGCTCATTGAGGTACCTGCCCCCTGAAATACCGGGGCTGATCCATTCGGTGGCTCTAAATTGAAAGTACCCTGGGTGCTGACATGAGGGAAGTAATTGTGAGAGGAAGAAAACTGAAATTAATTCAATGATGGATGACCTCATTGAAGCCTGAAATTGTTAAGAGTCACACAGTTCCCAGCAAGGCTGTGCACATTTTTATACTGCAGGAGCCTTTTCTTTAAGAAAACAGCTAAGAAATTGGTTTAGCAATTTACTGTTGAGCAACAATGGAAAGAATTGGTCTGAAGCAGGACAGCATGTTCAAACCATTTATATTGTGTAGCACATGCACTTAGCACCATCATGAGAGATGTTTCTCAGTGGGCATCATTTCAGGGGCTCGTCTTTCATTAGTGCTGAGCTGAAAGTAAATATTAGAGAACACCAGGGCTTGGCCTGGGTTTATGCAAAACTTGAACATTAAATAACAAACCTGTGTTTGTATATCACAGCTGGTTAGACTTCTTGACCTTTCAGCTGAAGCAAAGCCACAGAGGTACATCTCAAGAGCAACTCGGCTTTGTCAATCATTACAGAAGTAATGGCATCCCAGCATAATGCTTAACTCTAAACATATTCATGGCAACACCCTCTGTGTTAAAATCTGGAAGAACCACAGTTAATGGTGCATTTCAGCCACGGGCTGTAAACTCCAGTGACAACCTATTACTGACTGCTGAACAAACTGGGATTGTCCCTTCCGAGGGGATCAGAGCTACGTTGCAAACCATCTTCTACCCCTGTTTAACCACATCTCCTGGCTGGCTCTATAGGAATTGAATGTGCAGTAAAATGTGTCCCTTGTAAAAAGCATTAGGGGTTTTTTTCAGGTGCATTTTCCTGGCAAACCCTGACAGCTGCATTACAGCAGCGCTGGTGCTGGTGGTGGTTGTCTCGGGCTGGGAAGGGCTTCTTTCATCCTTGGTGCAGGTTCAAGGTGGTAGGCACAGTGCACAGGACATGGTTAGAGCTACCTCTGCTTTTTCTGTAAGGCCAGTATTCCATCTGAAGGCAGCATGCCATGGAAGTGTGGCCCACTGCACAGACACCAGTGACTCTTTATTTGTAGCAGGTCCTGTAAAATGCAGCCGTGGGTTAATGTGGAACTAAGCCTCAGCAGCAGGAATTTGTGAGCAGCTATGAAAATACAGAAACAACTGCAAGGTGCTGACCTTAAACCAGTGTTCCTTTAACTTCTGTCACCTGTTTGTGTCCCTGCAAACCCAAATTTGCTCCCTGGCTAGCGGTAATTTCTGAGGCGCAGGAAGCCATTGGGTAACGTGTTCTCTGGCTGCAGGCACAATGTGCAGAGGAGTTTTAAAAGCACCAAATTACAGAGGGTAAAACACTGCTGCAAACAAAGCTCTTCCAATGTTTCTCACATTAATAATGTGGAGACCTGGAGCTTTGTGCTTAACTTCATGGATCACAGCAGGAACTGGAGTCCTGACTTTAACCTTCTTCCAGGTAACCAAACCCTTCACTGGGACCAGGCTGATTTTAGGGATTTTATGAGGGGAAGATTCCAACTTTTATAGAATTTAGTCATCAGCTTATTATTACTATTATTATTATTATTATTATTATTATTATTATTATTATTATTATTATTATTATTATTATTATTATTATTATTATTATTATTATTATTATTATTTTTTTGTGAAGGACTATTTTCAGGACCTAATGAATTTGGGGGAGATTTAATGCTCACAAAAATTCCAATTAATGAAGAGAAAACTTTAGTCCTTTATTCTGTCTGTGGCTATTGAAATGGAAGAGTTTGGGGCTTCAGCAGCGTGGGTGGGTGTTTGGCTGCTCTGACAGATTCCTGCCTTGGAGCAGATGCACTTTGCTGCAGTTTAACTACGCTAAGGTGGCTCTGCTGGGCTGGTTTGAAGTTTGATAAAAGAGAGTCCAGAGACTGTCATTCAGCCATGGAGAATACTCAGGATACATGTAATCACAGCAATCAGCTATCTGCTTTTGACCTGTTATTTAATAATCAGTTGAAGTGCAAAAAACCCCAAAATAATTAAAATATCCTGCACCAGGGTGCATGTGTGACATGGCAAATTAGCTCACTTTTAAAAGGATGTGTCTGGAAGAGTTGAAGCTTCTGTCTTTTTCTCTATTCCTCATTTGGGTTTCAGCCACTTGTGAAATTTCAGATAATGCTTTATATGAAAGACTTACTATACCCAAGGACCTCTGATGAAGCTAGAGATTGAAAGGCAGTGTGTGCACAGGATCAGACACAATATAGAGATTTTGGGGGGCATTTCTTTCTGTTTACAGTGGCTTGAGCTTAGCATAACAAAAAGAACTTGTTAATTAGATATTTAAAATGAGGTCTTTCAGTTATGCATATTTGATACAAATTTCTAATTCAGAACAGAGCCTTCCAGTTTGACTCAAAGTCAAAAATCTCTAAGTGTTTTGGATATATGCAGAGGGAAATCCAAAGTAATTACTTACAAATTACATTCTAATAGTTTTTTGCAAGAAATAAATCTAAATTCCTCTATCTTGTTCATTCTGTTTTCCAGTGTTATCACAATTCTATACCTGATCTGAATTTTTTGTAGCAACATTGGGCAAGTGTAATAACACACCTAACACGAGTCAGCCAAAAAAATCTATTGAATTGGATTCAATTATACTGATGAACTGCTCTGGTTACTTTTTGCACAGATAGTATGAAACTGAGGCTAATATCTACAAGGCTTACAAAAATAAACTGGCTTGAGCTGAGAGTAGAAAATATACCTGAAAAACAAGTTTCAGGTTCACATATTTGCAATACCTGAAACCTGACTCTGGGAATGATGCACCACTACTGAAAACAGGAAAATGCAGGGTAGAGCACACTTCTGGTCAAAACAGCTCCAATTTTCTGCTGTATTCACAATTAGCTGCCCCAAAAAATGAGCCACAGAACAAGAATTTGATAATGGGGCATTTTCAGCAAATATGAATAGCAAAGCCCAGTGCAGTGAGCAGGTCCCAGGCTCCAACTGGTGTTTCCCTGCTCTTGTCTTTCCCTTTTTCACATCAAAAGGAATGCTATCTCCTTGGCCTAGCTTTCATCTGCAAGCTATTGAATATTTTGAGCTCTTGGTGAGGTTCTCTTGGCTGGATTCAAAGCAGAGACCCACAGAGGCAGATCCCTAAGGAGAGATCTGGGTTCAACCCTGCAGGACCAGCACTCATATGGCTCTTCCTCTCCAACTCCCCACTCTAAGAGCGGTAATTATACTGGTAAATTGTAAAAAACAAAACATACCTTCCCTCTGTGATTTACATGTGTGTTTTCAGTCAGCAGACTCTGGGTCAGACTGTGAGCTTGGCGAGAGGTGAGTGTGGCTTCATTCTCCCCCCGCGGCTGCCCCCTCCCCAGGCTCTTTCAGGGCTGCTGTGCTCCTGCCTGGCACACCAGCACAGCAGAGGAATGAGAGAGGAATTTTCCTTTTCCAGGAAAAGGCCATTCAGGGTTGGGGTTTTTTTTCAAAAGAGGAAATGGAGGCTGGCAACCCTTTGGGTTCTCAGCAAAAATGCTGGTGGCAAGTGCCAGTGTTGAAAGGCAAACAAGTGGCACTCTGCTTCTGGTATCATCTGCATTGCTCCCATCCACACAGAGAAACTTCTAATTTAATTTTTAATGGGCTCCCTTCATGGAAGTAGACTTCTCAATCTTCTGCTTACTGGTGGTGCTTGTCTTTGTGTTGGTAGATGTGCTGGGGTGGGTACAACAGCCTCCTCACACTGGACTGAAAGTCCTTTTAATTCTTCCCTTTTTAGGTGCATTGGACAGAGCGATGAAAACTTTAGCATCTGGTATGTGTGGTAAGTTTCAGATCTGCTTGAAGGGGAAAAACTGGCAAATAATATTCTTTGATGGATATATGGAGAGAAAGGCATTAAGAGAGACTGATAGCTAGAGAGCATTGCTCCTGGGCTGTCCCTGTGTTCTGTCTTTACAAACTAATGGAAATCATTTATCCATATCCTCCTCACTGTACGCTGACAACTGAGCTGGGAAAAAACGATGGATGATTTCAGGGAGAAATGTTTGAATTTCCAGCCAGCACTGGCTGCTGAGCACTCAGGAGTGAGCCATTGGTTTCTGGGGACCTTGATCATGTCCAGTGTGCTGGTGGGGAAACCGCAGCATTTAAGGGCTGTTCGCAAAAGATGTTAATGGATATGTTAATTTGCGGACGGGCAGCCATCTGTCGGTGCTGCCCGCAGATGGTGACGGCTCTGTTCCTCCCCTGCTGCCTCTGCCTTAGGTTCCTGCTGTTGTTTTTCCTGGCCGTGCTCCTGTCCTGCGGGATCTGCTGCTGCCTGCAGTGCTGGCTGAAGCGGCGGAGCTGCCTCCCCCGGCGCACCGTGGCTGTCTTTGCCCTCAGCAGCTCGGATGCCTTTTGTGGTTAGTCCTGCCCCTGCTGCAAGGTCCTGCTGACCCTGGTGGCCTTACTGTGGTCCATCCATAACCCAGGGAAAAGCAGCCAGGCTTGAGTGGGTGCTGGGATGCAGGCAGGGGCTGTACTGCTGGTGAGCAGTGGGGTGTCCAGCTCTGGCCTCTTGGGGACATGTCCAGACCATGGACTGGGGGCTGAAGCCACATCTGCTTTTCCCTGAGCCATGCCTTGGCGCTGTCCCTGTTGTCCATGTGTCCCAAAGGTGCCTAGTGAGGCTTGGCCAGGCAAACACTGGAGGTGTGAGGGATTTTCTCCTCAGTGTCAGGCCACTGGCCAGCCCAATACATGCAGCCACAGGCTCTGGGGTCAGGCAGCCCTTTCCAGTACATGTCCTTCATTTCTCACTCAGGCAAAACTGTGTTGGTCTAACTCAAGCCACCCCAGTAGACAGCCTGACTGGCTAACACACCTTGGGGTCTGGTGGGTGCTGTTCATCGTGGCAGCCACGCTCAATATTCCCCCAGGAGCACCCAGGATTTGGGGACTGGGCTGTGATGACTGTGTAGCATCCAGAACTGACCTGGAGTATGGCCAGCAGCATCAGCAGGCTGAGCCAAACAACATCCCTCCAAGAAAAATAAAGCTAATCCTGTCATTAGGCTAAGCCCTTCCCAGAGGACATATTACCTGCTTTCTGGGTGGTCATAGACAGTGTCTCCACAGGGAGGACCCACCCCAAACCCACCCAAATTCCTCTGTCCCAACTTCTTGTATCTGGAGTTTGTGGTGAAAGACTTTGTGATGCCATACTTCAAAAATGACATCCATGCCTTTCTTGTTTCCAAGTGGTTTGGCAGCTCCTCCTGGGCTCACCCTTCTCACTCCCACACTTGCTCTTCACGCCTGTCTGCTGTACAGTTGTGACTTTGCTTTTTCCCCAGCTACTGAAGCAGCTCCATGCCCATTCTCCGGATCCCTGAGCCCCTGCATGACTGCAGAGATTTCCTCTTCTCCTGCCCCATGCTTCAGCCTTGCGGGAACGGAATTGCCTCCATCCTATGAGGATGTTGTGAAGGAAAACAAGCTCTAGACACCACATGTTGGCTTTCATTGATCCTGCTTGGTCTATCAGAGATCTTCCATCATGCTAAAGGAGTGTGAGATCAAATCAGCCCTTTCCACAGGTTGGCCGAGAGACTGAAAAGCAGCACATATTTCATCTGAACCTGAAAGACAAGACTAAATGCAACAGAATAAATGCCAAAAGTATGTGTTGAATCTGTCACAGGAGTTCAGCTTGACATTTTAATATCTCTGGATTTCAGGAAGCTTCCTCAAAGACCTGTCTGTATTTGGGGTTTCTGGCTCAGCCTCTAGATTTATCTCTCTAAGGCTGCTTGAGCTGGTGCAACCCCATGTATTTTAGGACCAAATGTTGATAAATGACTTGATAGTTACTTCTCAAGCTTGGGCTGCCTCCTTCACTCGGCACTGTGCCAAGAAACACCCTCTGGCAAAGTCATGTTGTTCTAATACATTGCAATGCAATCATGCCACTCTGTGATGAAGGATCGTTTGCCACATTTAAAATATTTAGCACAGCATATCAGATTTGTCTAGTGCAAAAGGCAGCAAATTTATGGCCAGGGAAGAGAAAACAAGAGACAGGGATTATGGAGGAGTAGCAGTGGCAGGAGCTGGTTACAGAGCACTAAAAAAAAAAAGTGAGTTTGCTCATTTGAGTTGTTCTTAATTTCACGGTGACTGTCCTCAGTACTCTAACCCTAGCACTGCAGACCAGAAGGCTTTGAATGGCCCAGGACCTACATGGAAGTTCCCCACAGACATGAATTAGGGGCTTAGGTACTTAGTACTAAGCTACAGAAATCTATTAGGATAAAGAATGCCATTTTCTTTGAGGTGATCACTGCAGACAGTATGGAGAAATACTTTAAGAAGCCATCCAGACTGCCTTGCTTCCAAGCAGGATCAGCTCAACCAAATTCATTCCTTGGAGGAGGTATTAGCCTAACTAGTTCTCAAATTACTGAAGAAAGATGCTGGATTTCCCCTGTAGCTGGATCCAGATGAAAGCAAATATTCCCCTTTGTTTGTGGTGGGCAGGTCCCTGAAGGCTGATTTCAGCCTGCCTGACCTCTCTGTCTCTGCTCTCTCAGTGGCAAGGGCTGGGGGTGCAGTCAGACCTCCCTTGCTGCAGAAATGTCACCCCTGGTCCCATGCTCTGTACTCCCAGGGAGCCATGAGCCAAATTCGGGCAGAATTTTAGAATTTTGGATTAGAATCCCAAAGATTAATAGAAGCCCAGAGCCTGCCTCATGGAGCACCTGTAGAGTGAGGATAGCACTAGTTCTCGTGCCCAGGAAGGAAACTGGGAAGATAAATGCACTAAAGTTTATCATATTCTCATAATGATTCTATGTAAGTACATTTTCTAGATGTAGAAGAATTTAAACATATTTTGAGAAAAAAATATTTGCCAGCACCACTGCAAATTATCTCCCTAAAATCTTATTTTAGAAACAGCTTTAATGTTTGACTCTTGTGTGAAAGGAAATAAATGTTACTTGTAGCCAAATGAATGTTTGTGCCAGCAGGCTAAAATATTACTGGATTTATTAATAAGAAAAATTTGCAAGTACAGACTCAGCCAGGGGAGAAATCGAGCAACTTCTGAGTGTCCTTTTGCTGGCTGAACTTAGTAAGAATTGCAGGTAATCAGCACCTCTCAGGATCAGATCTTTCATGTACATAACTGCTTCCACCACTCAACCCCTTCAATTTATGCCCTGAAGCATGAGATTTGATTATGTTTGTCGCTGCAGCTTGCATAGCCTGTTAGTGGGCATTAAATCAGCTGTCACTTGATTCCCACCTCCACACTGTTTGCTTCAGTGACCCCTTCATGGCACAGAACTCCACAGGTTGTCTGCATTATGTGCTGCATAAAACATTACTGCCTCCTGCTTATTAATGGCTCGGCTCTAAACAAATCGCTGCCTTTAATTTCACTGAATGTCACCTTCTAATCAGATGGCTGGAGAGGCTAACAAGCAAGGATTGCTCAGGTTCCGATGCCTCCAATCCCTCTGCCCTCTCTCTCAAGGGTTCCCGAGGTGGTAAATCCTTCCCCAGCCACCCAACAGAGGGCAAGCAAGACTTTCAGCACACAGAAACACGCGAGGGAAGGCTTTGTTCCCCTGCTACTTGTGTGCATTTGAGTGCGTTCAGTTTCATGTTTGAGGTGCTTTAATTATGCACAAAAGGAATCAAATTATTCCATCAGAACTGCAGCAAGTGGCTCAGAGTAAAGCTAGTGGCTGTCACAAAATCAGGCTCCATCTGTGAGAACCTGTGTGCTGCCGTACCTGTGCAACATGACAGGAGCCACAGGAGCTTCCAAAAACTGCTGAAAGTCAGGAGGTATCTGCAAAAAAGAGCTTGGGTAGGGCTGCTGCAGGGAGGACATAAACTAATATTGTTGCTGGCTTGGGGTAGGGAAGGGAAGTACCCTGAGAAGGGGCTCAGGGCCCGTTCCTGATCACTGAGATGGAGAAGAGAGTGGATTTCTTCCTTCTACAAAAGCATTTTGGGTGACCCCACCGACCTATTATTCCCTATGGAAGCTGCTTCTCCCAGTTTGCCACCTCACTCCTGTGTTCTCCAGCAGGATGGACAAGGTTTCTCCAGGTCTGTGTTCCCATTCTTACACAAGCAGAGATTTTGCTGGATAATTGATATTTTTATAAGAACTCAGCTCTTAATGAGGGCAGTTAATGCAGTTTGGCTGATGTTTTCAGAATTGCAAGGAAAGAGGAACCGTTTCCTTATAATTCTTCACCTTAGGAATAGGATTCACCTTGGAAAAACACTTGTCCTGCTATGACTCTCTGGCTGCCACTTGTCCTCTGACTTACACTTCCTGCTGACTTTGAGAAGAAATGGCAAACAGCTCTAGAGAAAGGCAGAAAACACTAGAAGGCAGATGTGTTTGTGGAAACTTGTCATCAGCAAGACCTGTGGGGGGAAATGGGAGCAGTGCAGAGGAGCCAATTGCTTGGTGACCATCTGGAACCAAAGACAAAGGGAACGTGGCTGGACTTTCACCTCTGCAGATTAAGAGCTGAATAATAAAGTCATAAAGTTCAACAGAACAAAACCAGAGGTAGCTGAGCCATAACAGGGCATCAGTTTGGAATGCCAGGAGGCTTGGACAAGAAAGATGGGAAAATAATTTATATGCTCATTAATTATTTGTCTTAAATTGTCATCCAAAATTCTGCACTATGGGCTGAAGACTTCTGTGCAGACGGGGCTGGGGACAGATGCCCGCTCTCTTTGGGTCACTAGATGGCACAATTCTGGCTCTTTTCCTCGCTCAAAGGCATTTTACAGCAGGAACCCAGGAGCTACAGGGAGAAAATAGTTCTCACTGCCGTAACGGCGGTTGGACAGAGTATTTCAGTCATTAATCACTTGGCCACAATATTTAACAGATGCAGAAGAGCAAGCTGTGGGAGTCCAGCCCCAGCTGAGAGAGAAAACCTTGCATTCTTGGTGGAATTTTACTTTTTTCTCTTGGAAAGTTTATGAAATGACTCTAAGTAGATGTGTCTAAGCTGGGACAAAGTCTTCAGCTGCTGAAGATGCATTGCTGCAGGTGTACACTGGGGTCTGAGCTTTGTAGCTACCAGAAAAGGTCTAGGCAGCCTCCAAAATCACTCCCCCATGCCCAAGGGCTGATCCTATTTGTGCTGCTGCCTTTTGTGTGTCCTTGCAGGAGAGCAGTGATTCCCCTCACAGGAGTCAAAGCAGGTCACTTGGCAAAACACCTTCTGAACAAAACCTGGCTGTGGGTTAGAGAGCTGCAGCACTCAAAGGCAATTGTGTTTATTATATCCCACTGATGTTACAATGTGTAAGAAAAACACAGTTCTGCACTGCTGCTCCTGTCTACTGGAAATAATTGTCCAGTTCTACTGAATTCGCACCAAAATCGCATGGCAATGTCAGTGAAAAAGCAGGAAATCCGTATTTTGGGAAACTGGTGCGGCTGCAGTAGGAGATAGCCTAGTTCACAAGGTCACAGTAAGAGTTAACACTAATTACAGCTGGAGATGTTAAAAACCCTCATGAGTGAGGCTGATGGAGGCAGGGAGAGATGCTGCAGGCAGAAAAGGACAGCCATTGCAGATGTCATTTTTTTCTCTCTCTCACTTGCCTGTATCAAAATGGGAAATCAATAGCTATCTGTAAGGTGTGGAATCAACTTAGCAAAGATCTTACCTGAACACTTTACTGCTTTCCATAACCTGCACACAGCTGGATCCCCGGCAGAGTGCACAGAGCTGTCAGGGGAGAGGACAATGGGGAGCCCCAGTTCAAGGAAGCACCCTGGGGCAGGCACACAGGGAGGAAAGGTAATGCTCTCAGCTAAATCCCTGACTCTCCCTATGCCCCGGGAAATGAAGGCTGAGGTGGCCAAACATAGAAAAACACCCCTTGTAAGCTAGTAAAAATATGGAGAAACCTAAAAACCTGTTGGAATTGATGGATTAAATGTTGGGCCTCAGCTCAGCTGGTAATTGCAGTTGAGCAAAAAGCCTTCATGACCATCAATGGCCATCAGGAGGGAAAAATCAGTCTATTGTCATTCCTAGTGAGCTGCTGCTGAATGGAATGCAGGTATGTATTAAGGAAATACTTTAATAACTGAGCTCACCTGATACATCTTTAGCCTTAGGGACTGGTTGTGATTTTGAAAGAAAAAAATAAGTCCTGTTTACTTTCTGGGAGGTTTCTTGCTAACAAATATACAATTAAACTAGAACAAATCTGCATTGTTACCTGATAATGAGCTAATGAGGAGTGCATCCTGCAGTCACGAAACCAGTGTCAGTATTAAATCTAACAGGGATTAACAATTAAATATTAACAGTTGATCAAAACATCAGATAGACTGTCAGCAGAATTTGAATAATGAAACAATGCACTGGTTACAAAACATTAGCTTATCAAAACTAAGAGTTGCTGTGATCTTTTCCTGATCCACTTGTGCAGGAGATAGATCCTCAAAACCTACCATAGAGTTTGGCTAGAATAGAAGTATGATTAAGAAATTAACTCTTACTCTATACAGATACTGAAGAAGAGAGGCTCACAAGTGTTGATGGAATATTCTTCCTGATGTGCAAAGAATATCTGTACATAAATTCTTTGCATGTGAAGTGTATTTGAGGAGGAAGAGTTAAGGTGGTATTTGGGGTATGTGTGTGCTCTATTTGTGTACCCCAAGGAGGAGCACAGGGCTGGAGGGAATAAAGAAATTAATCCTTAATATTCACTCCTGATCAGGGCATAGACATTCAGTGTCCACTGAGGCACTGCTTGGTGTGACCCACGTGTTGCAAATCACAAAACAGCTCCCACCACCTTAAAAGGAGCTGAAGACCATTACAACAAAGGCCCAGGGTCAAGCACTGAACAGGAGAAATCAGTGGTCTGAGATTTGTAATTATACCTGCATTTCTTCTCTGCTAAACAAGAAATAAATCTTCCTGGCAAGAAATAACCTTTGTGCTCAGAAAAAGTTATAGAAAACAGCATCAAGAGGCTGGCAGGCATCCCTGAGTGTCTGTGGGGTGGCATAATGTGCTGGCTGCACAGGCTGGGGAGTTTTTGATTCAGAGTTGATGATGTCTTTGCTGGGAACCTCCTCCCCAGGAGCATCTCTGAGCTGGGTGAGCCAGGCTGAGGCTGCCTGCAGCATCTCTCCTCCCTCGGGGAGGCTCAGGCAGCATTTGCCTCTCTGGGCAGAGTGGGGATGTGGGCAGTGGAGCAGTCACTGAACACAGCTCTGCCTCTGGGCTGTGTTCACCCTCCATCTCCTTCCCTGTGTGTCTCTGAAGGAGCAGCGGAGCAGGGACACAGCCCAGGAAGCAGATCCAAAAATGTTCCCGGAGTTTCCCTGCCCTGGCAGAGAGTATCAGCAGTGTCAGCTCCCCTCCCCCAAAGACCCACAGAAAACACATTTCTGATGTGGCTGTAAAAAAGTTTAAAAAAAGAACATCAACCACCAAACTCTCTCTGAATGCAGTTCCTGCAACACCAGACAGAAATTCCTGTCACCTCCAGATCTCTTTGTGCATTCCTGGTATAATCCATGAATTCATCACATCGCTCATAACTCTTGTACTCGTTGTCTCTCAGGACCTTGTAAAAAAGCCTCCATCACCTCTCCTACTGTGTTTACATCTGTTTGATATAGCTCATCTGTTGGCAGTAACCTGCTCTCAGTTTGGCTGACATAAACGTCTGCCAGCCCAAGCAGCACGAACTCTGCAGGCATGAGCCTCCCTTGCCCAGGGAGAGCAGAGCTGCCACCAGGGCTCTTGCTGAGATGGTTGTGCTGTGCTCTGAGCCCTGTGGAGGTGTCTGGGCCTGCAGCAGAGCCATACAGACCTGCTGTTTTCTGTTTGTTCCTGGCCCCGGGTGCTTCTTGACTTGGAGCCAGGTCAGGGCTGGGTTATGTTTTGGCCTTGCTGGTCAGTTCTGTGCTGCAGTACAAGGTGCTGCTTCCAGGATAACCCATCAGAGGACTCAGCCCTTCATTTTCCATCACAGGAGTTATCAGAAGCGCTGCTTGGGATACAGCTCACTCCATCCTCAGCCAGCCCATCTGCCTCTGGCCCACAGAACATAAGGTTTCACTTCACACTGTCTGGGAGAAGGAAATGCAGCCTCCCCATGGAGCCCGTGGAGAAAGCCTACCTCTGGTAGTGCTTCAGCACCCACAGCTGGGCACACCCAGCTGAGGCTCCACCTTTGTTTCTTTACTGCCCCAAGCAGATAAATCTCTGTGCTGGGAGACTTTTCTCAACCCTCAGTGTCCATGATATGGTGTGATGCCCATGGTCAGAAAGGACTGAATTTGGACAGTTCCTACCAACCCTAAGAAAACTCTGTCCCAGCTTCTCCCTCTATTAAAGGCATGAAAGAATGCTCACAGCCA